ATTTATGAACAGAGAACTCAGGATGAAGACTGAGGATGGACAAGGAAAGCAACCAACAGAATGTGCATCATCAATGACCACAGAGGACAGCTGGTATTCAATCCTCCACCCATGTCATCTCAGAGTCCTCCACCTGTCCAGCAAAGGACCTGGAGTGTCTGAACCTCAATCCAGTCTGTTGTGCATAACATAAACACTTTCACAGTTGGTACAGAAAGACTGGATTTACTGGATGTGGCTCCCTCAGAAGCAAATTTGGAATCAAAGATCGAAGCACAGTAATTGATGTGGGAGTTCTTGGGGACAGCAGAAGACAGAGAGGGGCTTGATTCTGGGATTGGTCAGTATTCATTTCCTAGGTCTTCCAGCTTACAAACTGATAGGGCAGCATGTCTTACCAAAGCTCTAAGCAGGCCTGAAGGCACAGGGGTGGAGACTCCAGCCGAAGAAAGTTGTTTAAATTGGGTGTGTCTTCACACATGGGCAGACACACAATCAAGTTTGAGGATATGGGTTGGCCACTGGTAAATCGCTAAGGAAATCTCTTATGAAACAGCTCACTGACATGAAAGCCCCCGATGCTGTATTTAGTGAAACATACCTGACACTCTAGATCTGTTTTTGCCTGAGAAATGTTTATGCCCTGGGTGTATAGGCATATAACATATGTAAGTAGATTAAACATTTACCAATAATGAATCACACAGGAAAATCTATTTGAAATAAGTTCTTAGGTAAACATATAATTCTGTTCATTTTGGAGCATGGTATATGCACTTTGATGTGTTCGTGACTGCGCATAAGCACTGTGAAGGCTAGAGGAAGATGTTGGATGTCTTTTTTTTCCTTATTGAGACAGGCTCTCTCACTGAACCTGGAGCTCCTCACTGATCAGCTGGACTAGCTGGCCAGCAAAGCCTAGAGACCATCCTGTCCCTTCCTCCTCAGGACTGGGATGGCAGGCGCCCACTACCGTGCCATGCTTTTTAAGGTGCTGGGACCAAATTCAGGTCCTCATGTTTCTGTGGCAAGTTGTTACTGGTTGAGCCATTCTCCAGTCCAATTTTAATATTTATTAAAGACAAAAGGTAAATTTGCATACTAATTAGATACATGTTATTTACTTCTATATTAAGAATTAGGTCTTGGCAAAATATCTGACTCTGAGGCAGTAGAATATGCCCAACATTTTCGGAGGTGACGAATGTTTTGAATGAACAATTAAATGATGAGAATGCTGTTTCTGGTATGGTATAATACAAAATGGCAGCAGTATGCCTAGGACTAGTTTATAAACTATTGGAAATCCTATGTTAGTCTCGAGCCAAAATTCATCTTGTGATTTTGCATGTGGTGTATATGCTTGTTAGTGTGGGTTCCCACACACAGGATGGGGGATGCAGAGGTTGATGTCTGGTACCTTTTGATCTCTCTCCACCTTTACTCTTTTGAAACAGGGTCTCTCTATGAATGAACCTAAAGCTCATCGATTTGGCTAGATTTTCTGGAACTTCAGAGATCTGTCTGTCTCTGTGCCTATCCAACTCTGGAGTTACCGGATTGGTTTAATGACTTTTTAAATTATTATTATTATTAAATTCAAGTCAGCAGCTCAAACATCAAATTTTCAAACCAAATGTTTGGACAAAGTCCAAGCAAAGACATACTAATTTGATGTGTGCTCACTGAAGACTTGTGATAGGGAAGCCCACACTGCAGGAATAGAGACTTTTGTACATAAGGTAAAGCACCACGATTCATAAGACTCTCAGGAAACATTCTTTACCATGGCATGGTGTGACAGACCAAGGCACTGCGAACTATACATGTTGTGTGTGTGTTCAGACTCAAGGCTACAGTGAAGTCACAGGATGTGACATAGATCCAGACCACCAGAAACATCTGGGATTCATTGCCACTAAGCCCTGAAAATCCCTTGATTGTGGCTAAAGTCTTTGTAACCCCTACATTCACGCCCCACTGTCGTTTTAACCCAGAGTTTAAGAAGCTGTGACTAAAGAAACGGGTGGCATGGGGCTGAGAGTGTAGCTCAGAGGTAGACTACTTTCCCAACATGCATGAGACTGTGAGTTTGACACCTAGCCCCCAAAATAAAAAGAAAGTCACCTCATCCAGATTGTCACTTAGCATAGATGTAGAGAGGCTAGATAAGAGTCTGGACTGGGCCTTTGAGACAGTTCCTGATGACATTTATAAATGTTGGACAAGCTTGGGAGGAGATGAAATGGAGAGAGCTTCACCTGCCCTAACTCTTCAATGTCAACCTTTGAGGATAAGATGAGGTAATGCATATGGACATCCTTTGAAATGGAAAGCCACTATTTTTCATAGTTTTTATTGTCCACTTAATACTACCTAGAGTCACTTGAGAAGAGCAGACCTCAACTGAATAATTGCCCAGATTAGACTGGCCTGTGGCCATGATTATAAGAGATTTCTTGACTGATGATTGATGTGGGAGGGGCCAGCTCACTATGGAGGGCACCATTCCTAGGCAAGTGAGTCCTGGCTATATCAGACAGCTAGCTGAGCATGAGAGCAAGGTGCTATGCAGCATCCTCCATGGTTTCTACGTCAGTTTCTTCCTGCCTTGGGCTCCTGCCCTGACTTTCATCAATATTGGATCATGACCTGGAAGTATAAGCTAAATAATCAACCCTTCCCTCCCCACATTGCTTTTATCACAGCATCAGAAAAGAAACTAGAACAATCATCAAACAAAATATAAACTATAAGGCACAATAATGTATGCTCATTTTAAACACAAATTCCAGTTCATGTTTTTGAGAAATTGTGATTCCTTTAACTTGAGCAACAAAAACTGAACAGAGTCACAGCTCATTTTCAGTCTTTCTGGAGTCTCCTCTGTTGGTGTGATAAAAAGATGGCTGTGGAATTTGTTGGTGTTGGATATAATGAGCTGCTGAGGGCCTATGACTCCATCCCTGAGTTATCTCAGTTCTACAATGGAAGCTCCCTGGTAACAATTTCATGAAGAATCATCTTTGTGTCAGTGAACAGAAAACCAATTTTCAAAAATAAACACCCTGTGATAGGTAACAAGTTTCCCTACTTCCTTCACCTGTGACCCTGTCCTAGAGCAAACGATTTTAAGGAACAGGTTGAAGGAGGTTAATGAGAAGCCAGCTGCCTGCCTTTCCTGACACCATAGATTTTTGCTGCACAGAAACATAGTAGATGTTTTGTTCAACTTTGACTCTCCTCCTCTCCCTCCAGTAAAATTCCTGAGAGAGGAATTTTCATTTGTTCTATATTAGGAATGCCAGGAGTGTCAGAAGGATTCAGCCTTAGGAGGAGTCTATCTTCCTATTTGGTTTTGGGGGATTTGGTTTGATTTGGTTTGTTTAGTATTTTTCAAGACAGGGATTCTCTGTGTAACAGCTCTCACTGTCCTGGAACTCTCTCTGTAGACCAGGCTGGCCTAGAACTCAGAGATCCTCCTGCCTCTGCCTCCTGAGTGCTGGGATTAAAGACATGTGCCACCATGCCCAGCTGTTTGGGGTTTTTGTTATTGTTGTTGTTGTTCCTTTGTTTGTTTTGTTTTAAATAATGATAGCACAGAAAAAGAGAAAAAAAATACATGCTTGCCACTGAGCTAAGTGCATCACAATTCTAATATTTACTCCTCCTAACCATTCCCTGGGTTGGGTATTATTTTTATCTCTCCTTTATACATGAGAACATTGGCTCCTGTTTAGTGTCACCTTCAAAGAAGACTTCCAGCACTGGAAAGCAGCTGTGACAACTTCTAGTTCAGGATTATCTCATGGTGGTTAGATGTTCCTCCTGAACTTTCCTTCCCTGAGAGCCTGGGCAAGCCACCGTTCACCATGAAGCAGTAATGACTCAAGTCTGACTTTCAGGAAGGATGCTGTCATGGGTACAAAAGGGAAGCACCTTTCCACAGAGGCCTTCATGGTTCTATGTAATGAGTATGCTCAGCCAGGACAGGTCTGTATCCATGTGTCTAGTGTCTGCTTTTCCCATTGAGGGGATAAGTTTGGCTAATATGACACCTGCAATTGACTGGGATACCAAGTCCTGGGCCACCAACCATAAACGCTCCTCATCTTATTTTTGAACAACCTTACTAAAACACTTCATATTAGAGGAAGCAGTACAATTTTAAAAATCTTGATTTCCCCCCCAAAGAGTGAGGGAATGGCCAATAATAAAAAAATAATGGTCACTAACTACTATCAACACTTCTCACTAACTTCATTCAAGACACGGATGCCAAGTAAGGCATTTTGCATGTCATACCTCAGTGAAAATTCACAACTCCTATCTGATGGGGGTTATCCTCACCCTACACATGGAGGACCCAGATAAGAATTGAATTGACAACCTATGCTCACCAGCCTGTTTGTATGTATCTGTCAAGAACATACTTAGCTACATAACCATGAAGCCACTGTGATGCTTAATAACCAAAGTCTGAGATTACCTCATCCTACTTCATGAAATGCTGACCCAGACAATATTTCAAAATTCATTTTATGGCTCCTGCAGAGTATCTGAGTTCAGTTCCCAGCATCCATATGGTGGCTCACAACCACCTGTAACTCCAGCTCCAGAAGATCAGACACCCTCTTCAGTCCTCCATGAGCATGCCCACGCACACTCTCAGCATAAACCTATATAGACATACACACTTACATACCTATAAAAAGTTGAAAACTGACATTTCACATAGCTAGGAATCAGCTGTACAAGATAAAAATGACCACTTGCAAAAGACTCATGCTAAAGAGGATTTGCCAAAGACATAAATACGGAAGTAGTGATTGTAAAGATGAAAGTTTAAACGCATATCAAACCTTCAAAACTGTTTGCTTTTTTAAGTAAACCATGTCTAATTATACTGTGCATGTTTGTTTCTTGGACCCGCAGATTTCATCAAGATGTCAGTAAACGTGACTGGAAGAGACTTAAGATGCCCTTTCAGCAAATAGCACAGCTGTGTGTAAGACATGTACTGAATTTTCTGCTATGCCCTGGGATAGCCACTGTACCTTGACTTTCTTGAATACTTGATTTCTTTGATGGTTCCAGAAGGTCATCAGGATGTGGGACACAGAATCCATGGAAAGGGCCCAGGTCGAAGCATTCATGCAGCAGGGTCAAGTTCACGCTGGAGCACACACTCATGAACCCGACAGCCTTGCCTTCTACCTGGAACACCACAATGCAGTCACCTATCAGACTTAAGGTGGATCTACCACAAACTCTTGGCATATGGCCCACTGGTAGCTTGGGGGACACTCTTGAGTTATTTAAGGGTGGAAGTAGCTCTTGTATCCAGTGCAATGCATAGACTATAGAACATATTCAAAGGCATATCCAGCAAGTGACCGCTGTGGACACTCATAGCAGCTGGGAAGTAACTTGAGGGAGTGGCCAGAGTGTTTCTGAGGAGACACTGGAATGCTACACCTCTTTCAGAGCCACTCCCCACACCTTGCCTATTCCATTCCCTCTGCCAGCTAGTGAGTTAGAATTTGGTCTTTTGGAGAGAGGGAGGGACAGAGAGAGAGAAAGAGAGAGAGAGAGAGGTGGAATTGGGGTGCGTTTGCTTTTCTTTTTATTCATCCATAAACCCCGACCACCTAGACATTTTTCTCACCCTGCCCTTCCCCACGCACCATGCATAGCTCTTAGTAAAGTGGGTTGCTCCTGATCCATCTGATAAACCCCAACTTAGAGAACAGTCACAGTTCAGGGCTCCTTAATAGGGAGAAACTCTTCTATATCTCTTGATACCCTTATTTATCACTTGATTGGTCATGGAGGAGAAGGGAAGAAGGCTATTTACAGGGAAACAATTCTGTGAAGTCTGAACAGATCTACAAACAAATAACCCTCTGCACACTAAGTCTCTGAGTACTGAAGCTCTTGCAATGGTCACCATGATTTTAATCTATGATTTTCTCTTTTAAGTTTTGATGAGGAGCAAAGTCTCCCAGGAAGCTGAGCGAGTGATTGACACAGCCATTCTATTCAGAAAGTGGACTCGCTCATACTGTGATGCACATTCCCAAGAAGGCGCATCTCCACACAAATGAATGATCCTTCAACATCCTACAACAGAGAAGCAAGTGGCAAAGGATGTTTGATGATACAGGGAAAGACAGACACAAATTTATTTCTCCAATAGCTTCCTGTGCTTGAAAAACAAATGTTGAGATGCCCTTTATTTTTCAGTAGTCTTTTTTTAAAATAAATTTTCCTTGCATATTTCTTTCTTTATAGGACCCCCTCCCCGAATGATGCTTTCTATAAAAGGCTGATTTACACAGCTGTTTTATAAAGCCATTGACACTTTAATGAAAGTCCAAAATAAACATTTTAATTTTTTCCCCAAATAACAAGTAATTGTTTGTCTTGTTTGCACTCCTGAACAAAGGCTGTGTAGCTGCAGTTGTCTGGCTTCTCTATAATTTCAGGCCCAAGACTCAGCAGACGCTGATTAACCAATCCATCTACCATATGTGCAGAAAGAGACGGCCAGCCTCACTCCCGGCAGGGAAAATTGGCATCCATCTTGGTTCACATGGAGATGTCCTTCTAATCTACAGCCGTGCTGGCGCAGCGAAACTTCCATGGCCTGAAATACCTTTTGCTGGCTTCACAGCGAGCTGCATGTGCATGATAAGAATGTATTATTTATAAGACTGCTGTTAGTAATGAGCTATTACACTAATGGCTCATTGTGTTCGGGGTTTGATTTCAAATGGCATGGATCACACATTCTGATGAAAATGAGAAAAACATGTTTTGCCATTAGGAACAAAGATTTAGCATTCTCCAATTCCGCAACCTGTTATATTCCCATCACTCAGCTAGGATTGTAACAACTTAGAAAAGCCTACAATCAGACACAAGAGCAGAGCAAGGACGGATGGTGGACATGTCTGCTCTGTCCTTTGGGTTCCTTTCAAATGACTGCCTTGAGATACACTGTTCTGAAATATCAATTTGTGGAACGAGGCATGGGTATATTGGTGTGCACGTCGTTTATACAGTGCAAAGACATTGGTTGCTGTTATTGTTCAGCAGACAGAGATGTTTCCTACCGTCAAAGTCTTCTCACACTGGCAGACAAAAACTGGAGGTTTTGCTCCTCTTGCCTTCTTGTGGGAGTCTACATGACGGCACAGATAAGGTTTAGGTCACTGGAAAACCATCTGTGAGCTTGCCTTGTCTTCACAAATAGGTCTAACTTCTCCACCCCTAAAGCTCCACAGTCAGGCATCCCTTTGGGGCAACAATATTTCATAATGAGGCCTTTTGTCCTCGTTGTGACCGTTACTGGCTTTGATCCCCTTCTCTGGATGCCAAGTGCATGGCTAACCTGGCAGGCTCTCTCCCGCCTGCAGGTCAGTGGTGCTTTCTCGGACCACTGCTGCCCGTGTCCTGGACGGTGCCAAAACAGACGCTCTGCCCATCTGTCTCTAGGAGCCGCCTTGGCCTCCAACTGCCCTTCCTTGAAATCTCAGCTTGGAGTAAACACCAGATGTCAAGGTACAGTTATGACAAGGAACCTGCAGCAAAGTCACAGTTTCAAAACTCCTCCAAAGTAGCAAACAGGACAAAGAAAGCCAACAGTTCTTTAAAAAGTCAATGGTTTTTCTCCTAACCCAAGCCAAGCACTCGAGTACTCTACATGCACAGCCTGAAAAACTCTTGCACTGGATTGGGAAGAGGCACACTTGATGTTTTCTGTCCTGTTTCCTCTGGTTAGCGGTGGCCGCCCGATATGTGAGATGTTGGCAAATGCCAATTCGCTGTTGGGAAGAAATGCCCAGGATTTTAGTGCTTGCCAATGGTAAAAATACTGTGGTAAACTACTGCGGTAGTTTCAAGTTGCCAACTGATGTCATCGAATATGGAGTTGAGAAGTTGAGATGTGTGGTGGCATGCTTTTAAACATTGTGTCCACTAGATAAGTCACAGACAAAATCTCCAAGAGCTACGTCATACTAAAAGAAATCAATTGCACTCTTTAAACATTATTTACTATATTTCTTACACTTTAAGTTTATACAAGTGGCCTTTTTTGTTTTTTGGAGACAGGGTCACATGTAGTCTAGACTGACCTTCAACTATTTAGCTGTGGGTGACCTTGAATTTTTAATCCTCCTGTCTTTGCCTTCCAAATGCTAGGATTACAGGTGTGTGCTGGGTTTATATGACAGGAACTGTACCCACTGAGCTACATCCCCAGCCTATACAAGTTTTAATGATGGCTGTGTTCAGCAAATAGCTTGCAAAGATCCTGAGGATTTAACAACTAGCTCTCTTAAGCTAAACCAGATTGGCTCCAACATACCTATACTCAGAGTGGAGACGTGTCCAGGATGACAGGTAAGTGGGGGTAGGAAGGTAGGACCAGAATTTAGCTTGAACCCAGAAAGGCTTCAGACACAAGCTGTGGCTCTTCTCACAACCAAATCTCCTCCCTGGCTCCTGTTCCCAGGCCCTGCCTCTGTCCCTGCCCTTGACTGAGATCTATGCCCTCCTCTCTCTAGAACATAAAGCTTCTGATGGCTAAGGCAGCACAGTCTTTGTAGGAGATTGGGCTAGACCCCTTCACCTCTTAGGGGACACCAACCTCACAAGGCTGGCACTGCCACTTCCAACCTGTGGCTTTATTTGCCTCCATGTTCACATGGGGAGTGAAAGAAATAGACCAAGAAAAAGAACAAGACAGAGATCACCACAACTGTAGTGGATGACTTCCTCAAGGGATTTGGGGTGGCACTAACACCCTAAATAAAACCAGAGAACTAAAAAAGTCTTACAAACAAAGGCTGGAATGCACAGGACAGAGACTGGACAGGAAGATCAGAAGTCCTCTTTCAGGCGATACATGATTTCTTGCCTTTAGTTTTCAGGGGTTGTGGAAAAAAAACGGTTTTTCAAAATGGTGCTGCTTAGGCCCAAATGCTTCCTGGATGACTGAGAACATGTAAAAGCAAGTCTTTGAAAAGACAAGTAAGCAATCTAAATATAAAAAAAATTTAATAAATTAGAATTTTTCTATGTAATTTCTCAGATCCTGTGTTTTAGGGCCAGCTCCCATCTTCAAAACTGTATACTCAGATTTGTCTCTATTAGCCCTGCCCTTCACCAGAGTATTCACTACTGGATGAGTGAAGAGAGCCATCAACCAGGCTGCACACCAAAACCACACAAGGGACTTTAAACACTTATCGCTTCTCGACTACTCCAGCGAAACAGCCAACTTCAGGTAAAAGAGAGGAACTCTCCAATGTCCTTTCTACTCCTCCCCACTCAGAAGAGAAGGGACTCCCATACTCTACCTTGGTCCAGAACTCTCCTCAGAGCTCCCACCATGCTATCATCTGTCTGTGTCTATGACATTAATAACTCTTTCCAATAAATCTCTGTCACAAAGGACAATCCACTTCAGTATGTCATCAGTAGCAGCAGCAGCAGCAGCCGTAGTAGTATTGATGTTGTTATTGCTACCAAAATCCTATTAGGAGTAAAAGGATCTCACTGCACTTTCTGTTGTTCTGTTTTGGTTTTGAAATAGAGTAGCCTCCGTCGGTTTTGTACTTGGGATCCTCCTACTTCCGTCTTCTGAGTACAAGGATTCCAGATGTGCACCAACATAACATAGCTGTCTTCACTATGCTTTTGATTTAATTTCCCAAATGACCAATGAAACTGACATCTTAAGATACCAAATGACTTCTTCCCATGTGCCATTGACAATTTCTGTATTCTCTTTGTGTGCAGGGGAGGGAGGTGTCAATCAAATCCTTTGCCCACATCTATTTTGGAGTATTTGACTCTTTATTCGTTATTGTAAGAATTATAATGCTGACATTAAGTTGACACAAAGTCTGAATGCCTCCTTGGAGAGTCTCATAGTCACCAAGTCTGTGAGGCCTGTTGTGGAAAGAAAGCCTAAAACTGCTCATCTTATTTACAGAGAATATTTGGTTTCAAGTTTCAAGAAATGTAATATTCTTTAAGAGGTCTCACAATTTCAGCAAACGAGAAATGAATGTATGAAGAATGAAACCCTAAAAATATCACCCCAGAAACAAAATTGCAAATTCCAACCTTGTAATACTTTTCAATCAACTGGCATAAAAAAAATATCTTTTTAAAATCAAAGTCAAATATCCACTGGTAAACAAAAATCATAATTATGATTCTATTAATGAACAGGATGGGTAGGGACCCAAGGGTTCTATTCAATTCATATTTATAATTATTTTTAAAGATGTTTTAATGTTTTATTTACTAGAGTGTGCATATGTGCATGGCTGTGTGTGTGTGCGTGCGTGCGTGCGTGCGTGCGTATGTGTGTGTGTGTGTGTGTGTGTGTGAGTTTTGGGATGCATGTGCCAAGACACACATGAAGAGATCAAAGAACACCTGTGTGGAGCTGGTTCCCTCCTTCCACCTTCCTTTTCATGGATTCTCAGGTCACTAGACTTACTGGGCAAGTGCCCTAATCCTCCATGCCATCTCACCAGCCCGCTTGTTATATTATCTACAAAATACAAGACCTAAAATTCATCAGGCTCTTCCCCATCATTTCTCCTCCCTGGAAAAGCAGCTCTCACTATGGAAATGGAGCTGTGCAGTTATAGTTGATAGAAGACCTACTCTAGATGTGAGTGACACTCCACCAGGACCAACGGGAGGAAAGGTCTTCCAGTTCCTTAATATAAAATGCAAGTCCCTTGAGCAACACCATCACACTGCAACTTAAAGAAAAACAGCCCTCCCCCCCCACATTCCCATCCTCCCTCCCCCTGCCAGAACTACTAGGTCAGGAATGCCTGTGTGAATCCTGGTCTCCTGGGCTTCCTCAGCCCAAGAAGGACCCCCAGCGGCTCAACTGTGCAGCTACATCCAGACACTTTCCTCATATTGCTATGTACATGTATGAAAAGACCTCACTCCTATGGCCCTACCCTATCATCAGACACTCCCTATAGTCTCTGTTCTAGTTTATTCTCTGTTGCTGTGGTAAACCACTGACCAAAAGCAACTGGGGAAGGAATGGGAAGAAATGATTGACAGATTACAACTCCTCGTGGAGGAAAGCTGAGGAAGGAACCGAAGCAGGGACCATGGAGGAATGATGCTTACTGGTGTGTCTCCTTCTCACCTTGCTTTTTAGAGAACTCAGGACCACCTGTCCAAGGGTGGTACCAGCACAGTGGGCTGGCCCTTCTCACATCAATCATTGATGAAGAAAATGGCCCAGCAGACATGTCCACGGGCCATTCTGATTGATGCAACTCCTCAATTGGTCCCTTCTTCCTAAGTGACTCCAGTTTGTGTCAAGTTGACAAAAAACACCAAACTAGCATAGTCTCTAATATCTCAAAGTCTCAATTACAGTCAGTTTCTCACTACCACCAAGCAGACCCCATGAATGTCCTACTCCAGGAGTTTCAACTCTTAAGAACAAAGAAGCTTCAAGTGCAGTGACACATTATGGAGGTGACTCTGCTAGGTCTCAGGAAGGCATGTTCGGGCAGATTCAACACCAAGTACATCCCTCTGTGCATTTAGTCCCAGCTATCTGAATCCCACTAGGAAAATCAGGGAGGGGCTTCCCCTCGTAGGCACACAGGGATAACTCTGGCCCGGCATCCTCTAGAAGGGTATTCAAGAAGGAAGGGCACTCCAGCTCCAGGGTTGCTTAGCAGACAGGAACAGCATGGCTCATCCCTCTCATTCCTTTCACTATGTCCCCAGGGGGATCAGCCACCAACCTCGCACACCACAGCATGATTCTCTTCATCTTGGGCCTCTATTAGTTCAGCCAGGAAGTATTCACCATAAATTTCTTTCAGAGTGTTGTCATAGTGCATGAATATTGGCATGAGATCATCGTGGTCTTCTACCCTGTGTAACAGAAAGCCTTTAGGTTAGTGTTTGTCCCGTACTATGTTCCACCCCTGTCCTGGGTGCCAAAGATACGGCCACTCTCTCGGGAAATGGATCATAAAACTGTAACACACTTCAATAACTTTAAATATTACAAACACACTGTGGCTCGTCAGATGAAGAGTGACAATGAGGAGAAGGGGAGGAGGTGGGTCATGTAGACAGGGGGTCAGCATTGCTGGAGAAAGGGAGGTAAAGCAGCATTTGTCAGGAACCAAAGATCAGTTGAGGACAGCACTTTCCAAATGTGTTCTAAGGATCACCATGTCTATGACATTATCCCACAACCCCTTTCCTTTTGTAAAAGTGTTTAACATTCTGTGTGTCTCTGTCTCTCTCCTCTCTCCCCCTCCCTTTGTGAGAGTGTGCGTGCGTGCATGCGTGTGTATGTGTGTGTGTGTGTGTGCGCGCGCGCGCGCGTGTGTGTGTGTGCATGCCTTGAACTGCAGAACCATCTTCTTGTCCCTGCTTACTTTATGTGTTTCTATTCTGAGACATCTCTACACTTCCCATGGAAAGAGAAGGGTTATGAAGGTGATGAAGCTCTTCTCACCATTCTGGGGACATTCACCTTGACTTCCAGTCTCAGGATACTTTATAATGTCCTTGACACCTGTTAGAATTCAGGCATCTGTACTGGCCTGTCCTTGGGGTTCTGACAGGATACGCCCTCAGCTCCAGCCACTAAGAGTACAACCTGTGCACATTCACTATGCTCCCTTTTAAAAGGGCCCTGCCCCCTCCCATCCTTCTCTTGCTTTCTCTCCCTCTATCTGTTCTCCCTCTCTCCATCTTTCTCTCTCTCTACCTCTTTCTCTCCCTCTCTCCCCCCCCTTTTGTTTCTCCTCTCCTGCTGCTCCTGCCTCTGAAGGCCAGTCTCTCCTCACTTCCCTTTCCTCTTCCCTTTCCCCTTTTTATTATCCCTTTCCCTAGTAAAACACCCCTCTGCTTCCAGAGCTCCTTTTCTTAAATTACAGTACCACCTATTTAAGGAAGTAGGAACCAGGCTTACTATTGCATGGTGATGCTGGCTCCATTCCTTTCTTCAGCTCAGTACACTTTTGAGAACATTCAGTGTTGTATTTTACCTGTCTAAGATCCCCTAATATTGTATTCCTGATACTAAAAAAAAAAATCCAAATTCTCATGATTTCCCCCCTAGTATGTTTGATATAGCTATTGACCTTTATTCTTTCTACCTTTTCATTCATTACTCTAGCATCTTCACCACCCCATTTTATCTTCTAATATGTTCTCTTTGAGGCTAATAATAGCCCCATCTACTTAGGGCTTCATATGAGTATAAAGCTCTGTGGTGATATATTATTTATGATTTATTAAAGCTTGCCTGAGGGTTTCAAAAGCAAAGTCAGCCTTAAGCTATAGAGATCAGGCAGTGGTGGTACACACCTTTAATCCCAGGGCTCAGGAGACAAAGGCAGGTGGCTCTCTTAGTTCAAGGCTACCCAGGGCTACATGAGATTGAATTAGTCTAAAAGAGTAACAGAGCTCATACCTTTAATCCCCCGCCCCCCCACTAAAGAGATATAAAAGACAGGAGTAGGGTCTTCAAGAGTCAGTATCAGGATTTTCCAGCCACGTTGAGGAGAACATAGCAGTCTGGGATTTCAGTCTGAGGTTTGGTGGAACCAGAATCATCTTTCAGTCTGAGGTAGAGGTGAGAGCTAGTGCCCAGCAGGTTTGTTTTTCTGATCTTCAGTTTGAAGCTTGAACCCCAGTATCAGTCACTGGGTCTTTTATTTATCATGCTATAAGGCTCAAGGCTTTTCCCCATCTTTCTCAGCTGCTGTGTTTCTAATAGCAATCCCAGGGGGCAGGCAGTGCCCTTTCCACTGCTCAGATGCTCCCAGGGATTATGGGATGGTTTGAGATGAGAAGCCTGAGACCGCAGAGCCTGGAGACCACGGAGCTGCAGCAGAACCTCAGGATGAGCTCAAACCTGCCTAAAAAAGCCCTTCCTTTGCCAGGCCTTGAAGCTTCCAGTGCCCTTCAAAATGGCATTTTTCATGACACTTTTTGAAAACCAGTAGCAGGATGCAAAAGCAATTGAGAGACACGTCCTTGGCTCAGTGACCAAAGTTCATCATCCAACCAGATGGGTCACAACTCTTCCCAGTCCCACTGTAACAACCCCCCAGTCTGTCATAGATGACTTCCCCAAATTAAATGTTTTCAATGGGATGATCTTTTGGAATCTAAAGGAACTTTCCACCCAGCTCCCGGAATGAAACTTTTGCCTCTAATGACACAGGCTCAACTGCTGCTGGAATAATGTCAGGGCTAGTATTAGCCTCAAAGAGAACATAATAGAAGATAAAACGGGGTGGTGGAGATGCTAGAGTAATGAATGAAAAGGGTAGTGAGAATAGAGGTCAATAGCTATATCAAACATACTAGGGGGAAAATCATGTGAATTTGGAATATTTTTTTACACAGTATTAGAAGATCTTAGGCAAGTAAAATACAACACTAAATGTTCTCAAAAGTGTACTGAACTGAAGAAATGAATGGAGTTCAAGAGCCATTTGTGGTGTGTGTGCGTGTGTACATATGTGTGTATGTATATACAATACACACACATATACACATATATGTATATATACAAACAAAAAACCCAAATACTCTAATGAAACTAATATATTTAAAAAACAAAGACAGGTCTCTATTAAACCTCAGAGCTGGACTGGAGATATGGGTGGACCATTTGTCTGACATGCACAAATCCCACAATAAATAAATAAAGTTTAGTTGTCCCCCCCTCCCAAGATTAGAGCTGCCTGGCAAGGAGGCCCAGCACTTAGGTGACTGAGAAGGAAAGATCAAGAGTATGGAGCAGCCTGGGCTACAAAGAAACACTCTTGTCTCAAAACAAAACACCAGCTCAGTGGGGTGGTACATACCTTTAAGGCCAGCCAGGGATAAACAGTGAGACCCTGCCTCAAAAAGCAGAAAACAAAACACCAACTCAGATCTCAGAGCTAAGAAGAGAGCTAGCCAAACACCAAAGGGAAAGCCATACATAGTATCTAGAAGATGGACCTTGATCAATGTGACTTCCAGGTTCCCATGAAGAATTGCAGTGCCACTGGGGACATAGCTCCGTGAAAACAAAGAGAAAAGAACCTGTTTGGGGCCCTGTGGAGTGTCACAATTACATAGTAAAGGTTCAGAGAAGCCCTGTGATAAAGAACTCTTAACCTGGCTTATGCATTTCTCCGAACTGGTCCACAGAACCCTTGATTTCCTAAACTTTGTTCCAGAGGAGATAGTGATTAGGGAAAAGGCAGTGCTAGGCACCATTCTGGGAACACCCACTGTGTTAACTGCCCAAGGCAATGCTAACTGTCAACACTCTGAAAGGATAGAGACAGGGGTTCTTATGTAAGCAGCCAAAATCTGCACTTCAGATGCTGCCCTGGCACTTGCCCACATATTTCCACGTGTATATGATCACTTTGAGAATTATCAGTGGTCATCCATGGCCAGGTATAGGGAAGTTCCACCATAAATCCATCAAAGGCTTGTTAGGTGTTCATTTGAAAAGACCAGAAGAAAAAAGAAAATATAGCATAGTGCCCAAAGCCTAAGCTGGAAAGCAGCCCACCTTGGTCTGGACCCTGTATCTGTCACTGTGACTGCCAAAGATGCAGTCTGCTATCTCTGAACTATATCTACTATGCCATGTGACCACACAAGTGTAAGTGTAAATCAGACTATAAGTATTAGTTAGGTGGGAAAAACCAGTAAGACTGACTGGAGAACAATCAATCAGCAGGCAGAGTTTTTTGGGGTTTTGTTTGTTTGTTTGTTCGTTAACCTGAATCACCACCCTGACATCCCATTAGTAGATATAACCAATGCTGCTCCATCTACTATCAGTAATTTTATAGCTCTGCTTTCCTCAATGCCATCATTTACCTGAAGAGGTTTGCAAGCTCCTTGCTGTTTCTGGATGGGTACAAAGGCCCCTGCCTCCATCACGTCAACAGTATCCCAACCATGTATGAGCTAATGTATGCACTGTTCTTAGAATGCTTCTTGTTTCTACTCAGCACTCCAATCCACTTGTCTATTCCAAATTCCAGCATCTTTCAAGGCTACCTCCACCATCTACCCCCCCCATTAACACTTCCTTCCAGCCTCTCTTCCAAAAAACTCAACATCGGGATCATTGCTGACTACACAGTGTCTAGTAATAGTATTGATTTATTTTGAGCAAGATGTGGCATCTTAATAACCAAGGAGTGAGTTTTGGGGAACACAGAAGTTCTAAAACAGCTCTGAATTGTGGTGCACCAGTGACAGGCAATAAAGACCTGGTCTTCTCTTTATGGTGACCTTATCAAGGGCCCACACTGACACATTTGAGGGGAAGTGACTACTAATCCCAGGGGGCGCCTCTGGAAATCTGAACCTACTATAGCACACTGGACACTCCATAACCCTTAGCCTTCTGCTGCTCCCACTGAAAAGCCTAGGAAGGTACTTCCCCAACAAGACTTTGTGTTCTCATTTACAAAAAGGAGTGGGGTATAAATACTGGGGGCATGCCATGAAATGTAACTGATGATGGGCTTTAGCCTGCTCCAATCACAGCAAGTGTTTGCTCTCTATGAGAGACCTCGAGTCCTCAGCAAAAAGACCCTAGAACTCCATTCATTTCCCACCTAACCTGCAAAAAAGCTGCTGTTCACAAGAGACTTTTTTTTTCCCCTGTAAAAAGAATCCTTGGTGACACTGTTCAGAGAAATGATATTCTATGAGTAAACAGCCTGTGATTCCATTTTTTAGCATTTTTACCAAAAACTAAGGTTGTACCAATACATATTAACTGATGTTATTTTACACAGTTGGAAAAATAATTTAATGTTCTTATCAGTTCTAAGTGGTATGGTGGTTTGACTAAGAATGGTTCCCACAGGCTCATATATTTGCAT